GCTGGTTGGCTGGTTGGCCGGTGGCTGGTTGGCTAGCATAGCCACTGACTATCATGGTTGGTTGGCTAGTGGCTGGTTGGCTGGTTGGCTGGTGGCTGGTTGGCTAGCATGGCCACTGACTATCATGGTTGGTTGGCTAGTGGCTGGTTGGCTGATTGGCTGGTGGCTGGCTGGCTGGTTGGTTGGTGGCTGGTTGGCTGGCATGGCCACTGACTATCATGGTTGGTTGGGTAGTGGCTGGTTGGCTGGTTGTTCGGTGGCTGGTTGGCTAGCATAGCCACTGACTATCATGGTTGGTTGGCTAGTGGCTGGTTGGCTGGTTGGCTGGTAGCTGGTTGGCTAGCATGGCCACTGACTATCATGGTTGGTTGGCTAGTGGCTGGTTGGCTGGTTGGCCGGTGGCTGGTTGGCTAGCATAGCCACTGACTATCATGGTTGGTTGGCTAGTGGCTGGTTGGCTGGTTGGCTGGTGGCTGGTTGGCTAGCATGGCCACTGACTATCATGGTTGGTTGGCTAGTGGCTGGTTGGCTGGTTGGCTAGTGGCTGGTTGGCTAGCATGGCCACTGACTATCATGGCTGGTTGGCTGGTGACTGGTTGGCTAGCATGGATTGCTCACAGCGATTGGCTAACTCGATGTGCTCGTGGCTGGTTAGCTACCCCGGGATGTAGAGAAGGTAAAATTTGTTGCGAATCCAGACTTGCTTTGGAGATACTTGAACTAACCTGGAGAGAACGGGAGCTAGCTTAAAATCAGCAAGATCCGGTAGAGAGACGAGGAGAGCTAGCATAGAGCCAGCTAGAGGCAGTACGGAGTCGATGGTAGCTATCTGTTTAGAGATAAGGCGGATTAAGTTAGGGATAGATAATACTGAGACAGACGTCCTCCAACGAGACGTGTAAGAGGTAGTTTTGACACAAAGACAGTTAGCTTAGGGTCGAAGCTCACTAGATGATTAATAAATAACATTGGAGACACGGAAAGAGAGAATCAATGCTATAATCATTTCCAATGCTATATATTTCATTATACACGATCCCACGCCACTCGTGTCTCAAGACACACTGATGCGCGGTCTATTGCTACAATGACTGTACGGTGAGATTGCTTTACTCGTTATTGCTTACTTACTTGCTTATGGTCGTGCAGGCACAAGGCGTGGGGGACTGAGGGCATGGGGTCTGGGGACTGAGCGTACACCAGTGTGTCGATTGGGGACACGATTCCACGCGATGTCCCCAATCGACACACACTGGTGAAAGAGTCCATTGCTACGATGACTGTATGCTGAGATTGCTTTGCTCTCGTCGCGCAGGGACACGCTCAGGGCGAGGTGTGGGGACTGAGCGTACATCCGAATCAGAACATATGTGTGACGAGCAGCGACGATTGCACGCTGCGCATCTGGCAGATGGAGATCCCGTGTCAGATGATCAGTTTCATGAAACTGCCGAAGCCATCTCGTGCCGTCGCTTTCTCGCCCGACGGCCGCAGCATCGCTGTTGGATACAAGGACGGTACGCAAAAACATCAGCGGAGCGAAGATATTGTGTGCGGTCCAGTGTATAGTAAAGTTAGTCTGTTAGTGTTTCCGTTAACGTGGGATCCACGAGGATCCACTTAAGATCCACGCAGGATCCACGTAGGATCCACGCAGTATCCACGTAGAATTCACGTAGGATCCACGGAAGATTCACGTAGGATCCACGTAAGATCCATGCAGGATCTACATAGGATCCATTTAAGATTCACGTAGGATCCACGTAGGATCCACGTCAGATCCACGTAGGATCAACGTAGGATCCACGTCGGATCCACGTAGGATCCACGTAGGATCCACGTAGGATCCACGTAGGATCCGTACGTGAATCCTACGTGGATCCTACGTGGATCCTGCGTGGATCCTACGTGGATCCTATGTGGATCCTGCGTGGATCCTACGTGAATCTTACGTAACTCCTACGTGGATCCTACGTGGATCCTACGTAACTCCTACGTGGATCCTGCGTGAATCCTACGTGGATCCTGCGTGGATCCTGCGTGAATCCTACGTGGATCCTGCGTGGATCCTGCGTGAATCCTACGTGGATCCTACGTGGATCCTACGTGAATCCTACGTGGATCCTACGTTGATCTTACGTGGATCTTACGTGAATCCTACGTGGATCCTGCGTGAATGCTATGTAAATCCTACGTGGATCCTGCATGGATCCTACGTGGATCCTACGTGGATCCTGCGTGGATTCTACGTAGATCCTGCGTGGATCCTGCGTGGATCCTACGTGTATCCTGCCTGGATCTTACGTGGATCCTATGTGGATCCTACGTGGATCTTACGTGAATCCTACGTGGATCCTACGTGGATCTGACGTAGATTCTGCGTGGATCCTACGTGGATCCTGCGTGGATCCTACGTGAATCTTGCGTGGATTCTACGTGGATTCTACGTGGATCCTGCGTGGATCCTACGTGATCCTTGTAGGATCCTTGTAGGATCCATGCAGGATTCACGAGCAGTATATTCACTGGCCAGTAATCAGAGGAATTGACATCAGTTAAATTACAGTATTAGTATAACTAGTAGGTTTTCGTTAATTGAGTAAATAATTACACGTTATTGGTTACATTTAAAGCGATTTTATGCAATAAATCGATGTAGATCTATTTATAGACGATTGTACATCATTGGTCGTATTGTATCATTGTATCATTGTCGTCGTATCATTGTATAACACACATTGGTCGTATGCGGGGTTGCTTTATGCATGTGTTGTAGGTGAGGTTTATTTAAGTGAGGTAATGAAGGTGACATTTGTTTACCTGTATGTATGGATTTACAGGTGCAGTTTCTATAATTGATGCGGAAATGCTGCAGGAACGGCACACCTTTCATCATCACAAGGAGAACATATCTGATGTCAGGTTTTCACCAGGTATATATAGTCTAATCGCCCGAACATATAGATTTCACAAACAAAAAAACATACCATACTCTACGGTAGCAGTGAATTAAATTACCACGAACTGGTGCTTTGTTATGAAGAGAATTAATTTATGTATAAATTAAATCAATACAATCCATCATCTTATATGTTTTCGACTGGGTTCCCAAACAAAATTACCCTATTGTAGCGAGTTGAAATGAAACCCAATGACTATCAATCCCACCAGCTTATCTTTCTTCTAAATGCTGTCGAAATAAATAATGTTAATCTCATCTAATAAAGTTGTCGGACGGTTATGATGTTTCAGGCGCAGGCAGATACCTGGCAGTAGCCTCACATGACAGCTTTGTCGATATCTATAGCGTGCTAGAGTTGAAGCGAGTCGGCACATGCAAGGGTAACTCCAGCTACGTCACACACGTCGACTGGGACGTCGAAGGTACGCAACGTTATTATTTATTATTATCGAAGTCAAGCTGGTTTTTAAAGTTAGGAGCGAACCGGTATTGATAGAAGGTTTCCTTATAATAATGATATATTTTATAATTACGTTAATATAGACGTTATATTAATACGTTGCGTTAATATATACGGTATATTATATTATACTTACGTTTCTTCTTGAGGGGAGATTTGAAATTATGGAAGGGACGGTGCGTTTTTTTCCCTTTATTATTTATCTCGAAGTTTTGTGTTTGTACAGTTTTGCATTTTCTTATTGGTATACCTTTCCCATAACAGTCTGTTAATTCAGAATTATTTAAGTTAATCAGTTACTTAGAATCTTTTATGTCGTAATGCATATAACTTATAACATATCCTATAATAACTCGTGTTTAAATGTTGTGTTTCATTAGAAATATTACTTCATATTTTGATAACTAATTTCCTAGGAAAACTGATACACACAAACTCGGGCGCCAGAGAGGATCTGTTCTTCCTGTCGCCAAAAGGAAAACGTGTCGCTATTCCCACACTGGAACATGGCAAGATTAACTGGGCAACGTTCACATGCGTTCTCGGAGATCTCGTCGAAGGAATATGGCCTCCAGGAAGTGACGTCACTGACGTGAACGCCGCCTGCCTGTCACACAGCAAGCGGCTTCTAGTCACGGGGGACGATCTGGGACACGTGAAGCTTTTTGAGTTTCCAGTTAAGGTAAACACCCAACTGTATACATGGCAGCACGATAACAACTCATATATATAATTGATGTGTAAAAGGAAAACGAAGTCTTTTACAAATGTGATATTTGAAACCTTCAAACTATATAAATTGGTAAAAGAACAGCATAATTTGTTTTTTGTTTCACGCGCCGAGCAGACTTATATGTTGGTGTTCTTTCAGGGCAAACATGCCAGGTTTAAGAAATATCAAGGTCACAGCTCACATGTTACAAACGTCCGCTGGAGTATGGACGACCGCCACCTGGTGTCTACAGGTGGAAACGATACATCCCTTATGGTTTGGTATCACCAAGAATCATCAGAGAAAAAGTGCAGCCATGGCGACAGTGATGATTCAGACACGGATTCTGAGGAGGAAGGTAACAACCTGCGTTCGAAATGAAGATCTGTCCCTCGTCCCTCCTTGCTCGCGCGCGCGCGCGCTCTCTGCGTCTCTCTCTCTCTCTCTCTCCTCTCTCTCTCTCTCTCTCTCTCTCTCTCTCTCTGTCTCTCTCTTCTCTCGTCTCATCTCTCTCTCTCTCTCTCTCTCCTCTCTCTCTCTCTCTGTTCTTCTCGCTCTCACTCTCTGGTTGTGTGGAAATGAGGGTCGCCTTGCGCGCGGCATAGTGTGTGTTGGTGATGTGAGTGTGTGTGGAATGTGTGTGTGTGTGCCTGGTTTGTGATGTTGTGATCGTGTGCTGTTGTGTGTGGTGTGTGTGTGTGTGTGTGTTGTGTTGTGTGATGTGTGGTGTGTGTGGTGTGTGTGTGTGCCGTGTGTGCGCTGCGTTAGTACGTGTATGCCCTTGTTCGCCTGGACGTGTGGTCTGCGGCCCTTCTCTACTTCTCTTATCTCTCACACTCATTCTTTTATAGGCTATGATAGCGACTGTTCGCACCGAGAGTCCACGTTGGATACTTTCCGACAAAGATCTACGTGTAAGAATATTGTGTGAGATGAAGGGGTTGAGCAGAGCCACATCTCTTCAGCGGATGGGATAGCGACGAGGGGCCACGAATTTCCAGTAAGCTGATCATCGTTTCTTGTGAAACATTCGTAGAGCCATACCGTCACCGGAGTGTCGTGCGCTCCGGGGTGACGTGGTGCGTGCATGTGTGTAGTGTGTGTTGTGTTTCTGTGTGTGTGTGTGTGTGTCGTGCGCGCTGCGCTGCGTGCTCGCGCGCGCGTGCGTACGTGTGTGTGTGTTGTGTGTGTGTGTGTGTGTGTGTGTGTGTGTGTGTGTGTGTGTGCTGTGCGTCGCCTGGGCGCTGCGTGGCGTCGCGTGCGTGCGTGTCGTGCGGCTTGCGTGGTCGGTGTGCGGGTAAACGGTCTGAATCCCTAACACATGTCTAATATACGAAACATTGGACAGATCCACCTCCTGTGGTCTCTTATTATAAGCCGTAACACAATTCTCTCGAAACTTCTCTATAGTGATGGATTTACATTCAGGTATCAAACTTCAGGTTCACGTATTTCGATTATACGGCTTGACACTAATTTGCTCTAGACATTAGAACAGCGTCGGTATGGCGCTTTAGCTTCCTAGTGTGTAATCCAGCGGAGAATACAGTTCCGCTAAATTCTCTCCAATCTATTGATTGAAGGAAACACTGTGAGTCGAGCGGCGACCGAACATAGTGAAAGTGCAGAAGGCGCCGCCACCAGTGACATCTAGTGGCAGACTGAGGAATATTAAAGAAGTGGAGGTATTCACCGAAATCTATCGAGCTTATTATTACACTACGCTATATTAGCTACTATATATTATATATAATATATATATATATATCATATATACTAGCGGAATTACGCCCGGCGTGTGGCCCGGGGAAGACGTCAGGTGCGTACTGTCAGTTCGGTGACCGCTGGTTTGAAAGGAAAGATGCCTCCAACACAAATCTAAACTATGCATCCCAATCCATTCCCATCCCATCCCCAATCCCATCCCATCCCATCCCATTCCCATCCCATCCCATCCCATCCATCCCACTGGCCGATGCCATGCCATTGCTCATCCATCCATGCCATCGCATGCCATCCCATCCCATCCCAAAACGAGTAAAATATAAATTAAGAAATCAAAAGATAAAAGACATATAATTATAACAAATAACAAGTAAAAAGTTAAAAAACAGTAAAAATAATACATACTAAAGACGCGTAGGTAAAAAGAAAAAAGGAATAAAGGGCGAAAATAGGCAACTGCGCGTAAAGTATCTCTTTCGCATTGGATTATACGTACGCTGATGTTATCTGGTACGCACGCCAATCTATTTGCATGAATAGGAATTTTTATTTACTTTTTAACTTTTTAAATTTTGTTTTTTAGCCAGAACCCACCTCCCAGAACGGGTTGCTGATTCTTGAAAATATCTTTAGTTTCCTCTAGGCTGGGATATCGAGTTATCTAGTTATGCGAGTTACGAGACTAATTCGGGCTGAAAACTTTTATATATATATTATATATATTATATCTAGGTATATATATATATATATATGATACGGCACACACACGCTGGCGGAAACACGCTACGCACCACGCACGTCACACGCGCACGCACACGCACACGCCGGCGGACACACACACAACACACACACACACACACACATACACACACACACACACAGCACACACACACACACACCACCACACCACACACACACACACAACACACACACACACACAGCACACAACAAGGCAATGACCCCGTGAACATTTGAACTATAGGCGCCATATCACGCTCCTGTAAACTTGCTGTTGTACGAGTCGTAAATTTTACAGTTAGTGATATGATTTTCCACGCAGGAATTGGTGCTCGATCACATACATGGCTATCGAGGATTTGACTGCAGGAACAATGCGTTCTATCTGAATGAGGGCATGGATATTGTCTATCATGCGGCCGGGGCTGGTATCGTCTATAACATTTCTTCGGGTAAGAATGGTCCTCAACGTTACCTAAATACACATTAACCCTAACCCTAATTAAATAAATGCGTAGACATTAATTCATCCTTCTATGAATGAAAGTCACAGCAATGCGTAGACATTAACTCATCCTTATGTAAATGAAAGTCATAGCAGCCATGCGTTTAGACGATTAACTTCATCGCTTATGAAACTCAACCAGTCTATATGCACCATGCCCGTAGCATACTTAAACTCATCCTCTATGCTAAATGACAGTTGTCACTAGCAATGGCGTCAGACATTAACTCGATCCTTTATGTAAATAAAAGTGACTGTTAGCAATGCTGCCTAGACATTAATTTCATCCTCTATATAAACTAAAAACCGTTGTATAGCCGAATGGGTAGATTATTAACTGTCCTGATGCAATGAAAGTCCATACGCAATGCGTTTAGAGACCATCTAACTCATCTTATGCTAAAGAATGTCATTCAGCCAATGCGCTAGACATATAACTCATCCCTTATCGTAAATACAAAGTCGTATCTAGGCACTTGCGTAGACCATAATTCATTCTTATATTAAATAAACGTTATAGCGAATGGCGCTAGATTCTAACTCTATGCCTTATGAAATAGAAAGTCATTAGCAATTGTCGGTAGACACAATAACTCATCCCTTATTGTAAATAAACGTTATAGCAATGCGTAGATATTAACTCATCCTTATGTAAATGAAAGTCATAGCAATGCGTAGACATTAACTCATCCTTATGTAAATAAAAGTTATAGCAATGCGTAGACATTAACTCATCCTTATATAAATGAACGTTATATAGCAATGCGTATAGATATTATCCTTAACGTCATATAGAAAGGTTAAAACATCTAGTCTGCATTGTCTTAGATTACCGTCCTAGCTTTGGAGAAATCATTGTTCCGCACACTATCATTTTTATGAGGAGTATGTTTTTGCATGTGTTTTTTTTTAAATTTTTATTCAACGTAAGCCCATAGAGCACTAAATATGTGTTCGATCTTGAAACAAACGTGCGTTTAGGGTAGTTAAAAAGCTAAAACAAGTGCCGGATTTGCCGTTTTGGTGCGCAGTAAAATTTCTCACTGTTTCAGTCGCATATGTTTGCTTACCACAAACAGAGTGGCAAAATATTGTTATAATGTAGAATTTTAATCACAACGAGTTTAATCAAAATCACATAACTGTATTTTCATAGTTTATATATTGCAAAAATAGCGGGATAGATATAAAATAATCACTATAATGTGCGCGTAACTGTTGTGTCGTAACATTCTGCAGGTACTCAGTCATTCTACTTGGAGCATACTGATGACATCACATGCCTCGCTATCAATAAACATCCTAAGTACAAGAATATAATAGCGTCAGGCCAGATTGGAAAGATACCTGCTGTCCACGTGTGGAATGCCGTGACCAAGCAAACACTGTCTATATTACAAGTATGTTTTTAGCGTAAACTCATTCTATTTTCCCAATTTGAAAGAGATGTCAGAAATAATCGGGTTTAGCGTTCGTATCAGGTAAAATTATATTAATAATAAACTTTATAAAAAAATAAATAGCTTATATAATTATTATAACAAATCATAAAATATAAACGTAATAAATATAAAATCATGACGTAAATCATTTGTTCGTGTGTATTTGCTTGCGCGAGTCTGTTGGCAAGGGGGTAGAAAAATCGCAACGCGGCTGCACACGCCCCATTTCGTGTAAATCGTAGGCAAAATTTCAACGTTGCGCATAAAATCTGGGTGTGTTTATTTCTCAGTAGCCTATATGTCTCGGTGCATATCAGAGATCGTTTTGTGTAGTAAATAGTGGTATCTAGTTAACCTTGCATTGTCCTGCAGGGACCCCACACGAAGGGTGTGTGTTCGGTGGACTTCTCCTGTTCTGGAAAGCTGCTGGTAACAATCGGACTGGACGAGACACACTCGGTAGCCGTGTGGCGTTGGAGTGACGGTAGGAGCATTAAATCATGATGCAACGAGTAGCGGGTATAAATAAACGTATAGCAAATGCGTAGATTTTAACTCATCCCTTATAGCAAATGAAATAGTCATAGCCATATGCGTAGAGCAATACACTCATCCTTATGTAAATAAAAAGTTATAGCAATATGCGCCCTATAAGGAAATCTAAACCCTCCAATACCTTATATAAATAAAAGTCCATCAGCAATGCGTAGACTCATTAACGGTCTCCTTGATATAGAATGAATCGTTATACCCAATACCAGGGCAATGCGTATAGATCATTACCATCACATCCCACTCATCCATACCAATAAATGAACGTATATATAGGCAATGCGTATATGATATTAATCCTAAACTTCGCAACGAGGACTAATCATAGGAAAGGTCTAAAAAACATCACTAATGCGTGGACACTTGTCTTACCGATTACACCCGCGTAACCTACCACCCCCCGGCACCCTTGGAGAAATCGACCTCTGTTGGCCGCACACTATCAATTTTTATGAGGAGTATGTTTTTGATCGTGTTTTTTTTAATTTTATTCAACGATACCGCCCATAGAGCACTAAATATGTGTTTCGATGCTTGAAACCAAACGTGCGTTGTTAGGTAGTTAAACAAGCCACCAAAACAAATCAGCCGGATTGCGTTTTGGTGGCGCATAAAATTTCTCGACCTGTTCAGTCGCATAATGTTTTGCTTACCACAAAACAGAGCGTGGCAAAAATATTGTTAATGAGAATTTAATCAACACGAGTTTAATCAAGACATCACCTATACCTAAGTGACATTGTCATAGTTTATATATTGGGCAAATAATAGCGGATAGATATAAAATAGATCACTATAATGTGCGCGTAACTGTTGTGTCGTAACATTCTGCAGGTACTCAGTCATCTACTTGGAGAATACCTGATGACAACCTCACATGGCTCGCTATCATAAAACATCCTAAGTACAAGATCATCCACAATACCAGCCGTCAAGGCCATGATTGGAAAGATACCTGCTGTCGCACGCGGGTGTTGGAAGTGGCCGTGACCAAACGGCTAAACACTGTCCTACTACATTCAAGTATGTTTTTAGCCGTAAACGTCCTTCTATCTCTCACACCAACGAGACTTAATGCAACAGACGACCTGTTCAGAAAATACTAGGCTGGCTTTCTTATTCTGTCCTCTGTATGCAGGCTAGATAACTTCACCTCTAATAATAAACTCCTCCTTATACCAATTAACAAATACAAATATCTTGTTATGCCCCTTATACATACACTTATTTATAATAACAAATCATAAATATAAACGTAATAACCCATGATACAAATCACTCGGACTAAATCCCATCCTTGTCGCTTCCCCTCTCCTTGCCTGCCTATTTTGCCTAATGAGGTTCTCCGTTCGCACTTACCTGTTGCCAAGGAGGCTACCACAAACCATCGCCACTAGGCCTGCCTCCGCCATCCGCTCCCATTTTTTTCGCCTCTCCTAATCGTAACGGCTATAGGAATCTCTTCACGTTAACAGACATCAAAAAAACATCCTAGGATGACATTCCTTTTTTGTTCTTTAGCTTTTAGCCTTAATTCAATATATTCTCCGTAGCGATCGGTTATTAACATGTATGTATTCCGTCCATTTGTGTAGTCAATAGTGGTATCTAGTTAAACCTTGCATTTGTCCTGCCAGGACCGGCCCTTCGCCACATCAAAGGGTTGTGTTCGCGTGGACTTTCCCCCCTTTCTACTTCCTGTCTCTGGAAAGCTGCTGGTAACAATCGGACTGGACGAGACATCCACGGGAGACTCGTTATTCCGTTGCGGCGTTGGAGAGTGACGTAGGAGCCTGCGCTTAAATCATGGGAAATTGCACCCCGTATCACATCGAGTAAGCCGGGTGATTGCCGAAATGATAGCTACTCCCTAGTCGCATTTCCAGGTGTACCCACTTTCAATCTTTAATTTACCCGCGAACGCGACCTACGATCACGCGACCCTGCGCACCATATATATCCCCGATACTATCCACTATATATATATATTATATAATATATATATATACTATATATCACGACCACTAAATAATAAGGAAAAGCATCAAAAAAATTATTCGAGCATAAATTATTCGGTGCCGCGTTTCAAGTCTACTACTCACTGATAGCATTTTTTCTTGGCTATGGACTTGGTTATGGACCGAGTGGCAGACTCGAATCTTAGTGTTCTTCCCCGCCCGTGTATCCTCTCATCACCCCGATAATACTTATCCTAGGTCGATCCTAGTACTTCAATACATATTACACTTTATATGGTCCCCGACCTTGCTCTCGTTACAACGGCTACCCCCGCTAAGTTGCGGATCCGCTGCCGGAAGCGACGGCGGCTCTTCCACTCGCCGAGTTCCGTCCGACTGCGACAGCCATTTATAACGTCGGCGTGAAACACTGTTCGCTCTGTCGGTCGTCCGGCGGAGAGCTGACGTCTAAGCGGGGAATCCTGTCCGAAAACCACACACAGCGCCCAGATAAACATGCAGACGATGCTGTCAGTCGCATTCGCTGCCGTGCGTCCGCCATTTTGTTTTCTATGTTTTTTTTTTTCCCAATGTCCGCATTTTTTTTCTATCGAGTTGTTTAATTACGCTGTTCTCAGGCAGGTTCAAGCCTCTAACCCACCCGCGTAAGGGCATGCAGCGTAGGTTTCAGTATAAAATTTTTTCTACTCTTCCTTTCTCCCTATAGGTTGTTCTCTGATATCGGCGTGTGTTTTGTGTTTTTTTTTTAGGAGAACGTGACCTATTAAGCGGGCTCGTTGACTGGGTCCGTGTACGTGTGGAATGATAAATGGCTGCTACGCACCATCCACGGCGCTCATTCGGGGCCCATCTTCGCAATGTACACCAAACGGCTTAGCTGACGTCTCAATCCGTAACTGTGGCAAAGAAGAGTGAACCTCAAGTAATCACGGGCCTAAGCGCTGCAGTGCGGGGAGGCAAGGGGGCAGCTGCCCCCTAGTTTCGGAGCAAAAATCTAAAAGAATCTAAATCTGTCCTCTACGAACAAAGAGAATCTGCGTCAGTCAGAATGAAGGCTGTACATTAGTACTACAAAAGTGGCCTCAAATACCATCCTCCTGCGATCTATCATTTTCAAAATTTTCTGGTTGGAGGACACGCCAGCTTTGTTTCTCAAGCCCTCTCCTTGAAATCCTGGATCCGCCACTGCCTACTACGAATCTTGTTCAGCCCTAAGCGGCATATATATATAACAACTATATATATATATATATACTATATATATATATATAATATATAGTATATACCACAT